AAACAAGTGAGAACTCTGTATATTAACAGTAAGTTGAACCATCATGAAACTATTTTTCTAGGTCAACATGGTCAAATATCAGCAATTTCATAATGGGTCCACAGGTAAGTGCCTAAGTAGCTAATAAGTATTGGATGAATCCTCCAGATCTGACTGCAAATTAGACATTTTGGTTAATATTATTTGAAGAGTGTCAATTTGCAAAGAGACTCATTTTAGAGATATATTGTATGGGTAGGAGAACCACAAGGAATAGGGCAAGAACCTAAGGCCAGCTAGCAGATATATTATGCAAAACAAATTTTCGTGTGAGGTGCAGGGGCCTTTAGTGGTGGAAATAGTCATCACAAAGAAATTTTTTTTTTAAAAAAAACTAAGAATTAGGCCAGGCATGGTGGTGCATGCCTGTAACCTCAGCAACCCAAGAGGCTAAGGCAGGAGGTTTACAAGTTCAAAGCCAGACTCAGCAATTTAGCAAGACCCTAAGCAATTTAGCAAGACTCTGCTTCAAAATAAAAATAAAAAAGACTGGGGATGTGATTCAGTGGTTAAGTACACCTGGGTTCAATCCCTGGGAACAAAAGTAAATAAATAAAAATAAATGCAAGAATTAGGCATATGATAATTTATTTTATGTAAATAAACATTTGCTTATACATAGTAATCTCTCAACTCTGAATACTTAATATCTCAGCCATATGACTGGATGGCAAATGCAGTTTTTTCATAGGGTCTGAAGAAATAATAAGTATCATTTGATCCTAATATTTTTACTCCTGAAGTGGAAATGTAGCATTTGTGACATAGGACAAGGATGGACATTTGAGGCCAGGATCAAGAATACTTCCTAGGTGATACTGTGACTTCTTACTGTATCATTTCTGGATGTAAAGTTGTCTCAGTAATACTGATACTAAATTTGATCACTTGATTATGATGATGACTGCCAGACTGTTGTAAGGGTATCAGTCACCAGGAATGAATGAGAGGGTTTGAGCTGGTGGGCAGCTTATTGCCTTGAGCATATGGGAGTAAAGAGCAAGTAACAGTGAGGGAGAGAATATGTATAGTGTTGTAGTTTTCCCATCTTTTGTGTCAATTTTTTTTTCACAGAGACAGTGTTATAAATGGTTCAGGGGCTGGTCTATGAAAGTCTACTCAACAAAAATGTCGCTGAAATAGGGCTCATACATTAGCCCTATGGTTAATTCAGATGAATTATGAGAAATAGACTTGCATTGTTTTGCCTGGACAACTGAATAATCTTTATGGTAGTGTTTTGATCATGAGATATTTTAAATTGGGGTATGTCTTTTTATATTCATATGTGGAATCATCTTTAAGTTCTAGTACCTTTGCCATTTACAATATGCTTTAGTTTATTCTTCCTGTGTTTTTGTTGTTGTCATTGTTATTATTGGTGTGTGTGTGTGTGTGTGTGTGTGTGTGTGTGTGAAGCAGAGTCTTTCAGTTTCTAAGAAGGTATTAAGAACTTGGTCTTTATTTTAATTTAACTCAACAAATATGGTTAATATGAACAGGTAGAACATATGTAAGTAGGCATGTCTTAAGCCAACACTTCTCTAGATTTATTATAATATTGTAGAAAATATTTAAGACCAGCTCTCTTTCTTAGATAGATTAGGCATATTCTTGTAAAAAAAGTTTATTTTTTCCTTCAAGTGGTTTCTGTAAAAACATTAGAATATGTGCTGTTGGACCACACATGTTTCTCATTCCCTCCGCAGCATATAACTGGTATCCTTAGCAAGATAAATCTTTAGTAAGGCCTTTCTACTCATGGGAAAGCCTGGGCTTGGAAAATGAATGCAGGGGATATTAGGAAATGGTAAGTGATCTGATTTGGCTATGATTTCTGGTATGAAAATAAAATAGTGGAATTTGCAGCTGTAAAAGTATATTGGCACCAGATTGCAGAAGGCTGTGAATGTCAGGCTAAGGAGTTGGGATTTTATTTGATAAACCGTGAAGAGTTATGGAAGTCTTGGGAGTAGTGCAGAGATATGATTTGCCAGTAATCTAGAATTTTCATTATTTAAAAACATGTTCTCCCCCAGGACATATGCAGTATTAGGGAAAATGTCATCCTTTTAATGAAGTAAATTTCTCTTCTCTTTGGGCTGTTGTCTGAACTGCATCAGCAATTCTGCAGCTGTGCTTTCCCCTACCATAAACACACCAAGGTCCTTGATGTGGTTGAATTAATGCTATTACTGCTGACATCCTGCACTTAATATCTACGTGGTTAGTGAGCTTGACTAAAAGTGCATGTATTTCAAAGGTTTCTCACTGTGTTATCAGGAGTTTGGGAAAAAATAAGGAAAAACCCTCATTTACAAAGCAGTCTTATTTTTATTATTTTATTTAATTATTTTTTTCCAAAAGCTTTCTAAGGTAGGGTTATGTTATCCCTATTTTACATATAAGGAAATAAGTGACGGAGACAGAACTAACACCGTGGTCATTTGACTCGAATCCTGTGAACTTGCTACTGATCCATCGTTACAACTAGAAAAATGATGAAACCTGCTTAACATACAGATAATGTATTAGTAACATAATTTTATTCTTTAATGGGGGTTTATTATTATCATATTTGATCCAACCAATAGTGACAGATATAAGGTATTGTTAGTGTACCAATCTCATTAACTTTAAACATGTGATTAAACAATTTTTTTTCTCTCAATGGCATTGATATCTTAGGTGTCTAATATGTAAAATGAAGGTAAAGAATTATATGATCTCTAAAGTCCTTAATAATCCTCAGGTACTATGATTCTTTGATGTTTACCCTAAAATACCTGTGGATGGGTACAAACTACAGCATCCTGGCACAGTACAGTGACTGAAGAAGAGAGTTCTAATTTGGATTCTAACTTAAACCAACTTCCAGCACTTTATGTAGCAATTTAGTCCATGTCAGGAGAAAAACATATCAGTAATCAAGTGTAAAAATCATAGAGAAATTGAATGCCTTGCATCTGGGAATTTGGGATCTAATTTTTTAGCTTTCCCAATAATTCTCAAATTGATTTAAAAATTATATTCAGGAACTTTAGCATTCTCATCTGTAAATCCACCAGGAATAGGTAATCTCTAAACTCCTTTTTGGTTTGTGTATGTCTTTAAGAGGATTCTCTGTTCTGTTATGTTCTAGTAATCCAAGAAATGGTTTCCCATTCATTTTGTAGATCTAGTTCCCAGAAATTAAATTAGGCTAACCAAGGTCAAGAACCCCCACAGTGAAAGTCAAGAGATAATAAGAAACAGATTTTCACTGAATCAGTTGAGTTCCTACAACTGCTCCATGGCCATACATCAGATGGACCAGAACATTGGTGGGTTTTGCCAGATGTAGGCTGTCATCTGACAAGGTGTCTGCATTTCTCTCTTCAGTGTATTGATTTCAGTTGGTTAACTCTACCTTTCAATTCCCTCCTTTATTCCCCCTTCCTATTGAAGCTTCTGTATCATTTTTCATGATCTGTTCAAACAGCCAATCATCCTCTATTACTTAGGTTCCAGTGCCTCTCTGGCTAAAGCTGTCCCTATGACTTTTGGATGATACATGTTCCAATAATTTGTTATTATCACTAATATTTGAATAATGCATTTGAGTGCAAAAACTACTATTCTAAAAAACAAACTTCAAATACTTCTAGATATGAAACATTCATCCTGGCAATTTTAATATGTTATTTGATATTACCACAGCATATATATGGGATGATTTTAATTGCTAAAGCTACCACTAAAGGTATTACATGGTTTGCCTAAGGTCATGCAACTAATAAACTCAAATCATGTCTTCAAACTCTTGAGGCTTAATTTCCCTTTTCCAAGTATATTTATTTTATAATTCAATTATCTCAGAAACCTTGTAAGTTAAGCAAGAGAAACATTACTTAGTTTTATTTTATTTTATTTTGTTTTCTTCTTTATTAGAACACCTAGAATAGTAGTGATCATATAGTTAATAATAAAAATGTGTAAGTGAATTGAATTATGTTTATGAATTAAGAAACTTATAGTTCAAATTGACTTTTACTAAGTTACATGATAAAAAAATGATGGTTTAGGTTGAGAACTATTCAATTCAGATGTTTCTACTACCCTGTATGTTCGTTCTCAAGCTCTTTTTCAGCATAAGAACCTTGCTCAGTTCTAGGCATAGATATTTCTGGAATGTATTAACTGTCTCATAGGATCTTTACTTAACTGGTATCTTGTGGCTTTTACAGCTCTGATAAACTAGATACTGGGAATAATTATTATATACTAACTAAAGTCAACTTTTTGAGTCCAAGTTAAAAATAGGGAAAATCAAGACTTAAAGATATATATAGTACAATAATTTGTTTGATCATCTACCCCATTTCCAAATAAGTAGGTACCATGATTTCTAGTTCTTGGTTCTTTATTTAATGCTACACCATCCTTCTTTACCCTCCTCAACAATAGCCATTTCTCTCACCATATCCCTCTTTTCCCTGAACTACTCAGGGCTTCAAAAAATTCTAGTTCTGCCAAACAACATCAAGCTCCTCCTCACAATGTATAGATATCAGTCACAGTGCCTAGTCTGATTAGGTGGTTAGTAAAATGCATAGTGTTCATAAAGGCTTGCAAAAGATATCCAAACTGGAGGAGTAGGAAGTAGCTCAGGGACACTAGAAAGTCAGAAAATTTGGATTCTAATTCAATCTTTGCCTCTACTAGCAATAAGTATGGAGAAATTTGTCTTCCTTTCTGAGTTTGTTGTCCAAGTGTAAAAGCTGATGTATTGATTACTCTTGGCTTTCTATGCAGACAATCATTGTGACAAATAAGAAGTGCTTGCAATTTTGGTTAAGACATGGGGCTATTTATTGGCTTGGTCTATTGCTTGAAATTTCCCTGAATTAAAATGTTTATACATGTAATTGTTTCCTATTAAGAACTGCTATTTTCCTTTTCTTTTCCTTGTATTGTATCAGACTCTCTCCTAAGCATGCCCCAGATATTCCTGATGACAGCACTGACAACATCACTATTTTCACTAGAATCTTGGATCGTCTTCTGGATGGTTATGATAACCGATTGAGACCTGGACTTGGAGGTCAGTTATTCTTTTAAGATTCTCTACTCAGCCCTTTCCATCTAAATGAGTCATAAGGTAATTTCAGTAGTCTATTGATAAAGAAGTTTAGTGTAAAGTTGAATTTTTTTTCCTTTAGAGCACTAGAAATTAATTCTTTATTCTAAAGGGTAAACTTTCTAGTATGGTTTTGGAAAGTTACTGAATTTTAGGCAAATGTATCTGGAGTATTATGCCTCAAAGTTTGACAAAGCCAGTTTCTAGTAAAAAAAAACCAATAATAACTACAAAATAATAATCACTGGCTGGATGTCAGGTATGGGCCAGAAACAGCTGGGAAATTTGTTCTCAAATCTGAGCACATGTTAGCCTGGTCTTCTAAAGAGTAGCAATCTACAGGCTAGATGGGATTGCACTTGACCATCAGTTTAGTATAATCAGAAGTATTATTACAATGAAATGAATGCATTATAATATGTCATGGGCTGTGTTAAAATGGCAAGTATGGAAGTGGGTGAATTTAATTTTTTCCAAAATCATTTGAGAATTAGTCACATATATCATTTCCCTTTGTTCCTAAATACTTAAGTGCATATTTCCTTAGAACAATTAAATAATTTTATAAAATACAATTACAATTCAGAAAATGTAACTTAACATAATACTCTTTTCTAATTTGTAGTCCATATTTAAATTTTTCTAATTATCTCCAAAGTGTCTGTTATAGTAATTCTCCTTCATTTAGGATGCAATCCAGGATTATTCATTGCATTTATTGTCATGACTCTCTAACCTATACTCTAATATAGTTGCTCAGCATTTCTTTCCTCTCATAATGTCAATTATATCTTCCTTATTCATTTTTGGAAATAAAACAACAGGGGTTCGTTCTCAAAGCATTACTGAAGAAGGAAGCATGATGTCTGTTTGCTTTATTATTGTAATATTAATTTTGATGTCTACCAGGTTACTTCACTCTAAAATTACCATTTTAAGCTTATAATTAATAAGTCATGGGGATATTATTTGACACTATTCTGCTCTTCTTCCAACTTGTACCCAATAGTTTTAGCAAATATTGATTATTCTTGCATGAATAACAACAGTTATGGCTGCAAAAGAATGATTTTTCTTAATCCATTTTTCCTCTACATTTATTATATGGCATTCTGTTTGTAAAATTAGTATTTCTTTCCTGTTAATTAATTAGCTAATTGTCAGTATGAATGCATTTTTATTTTATTCAGGGGATTATAAAATATTAGTATCATTATTCATTTTGATTAAAATTTTTCCTTACAATTTTCAATATTTGCCTACTGGGAGCCTGTTCAATCTGCTTTCTGTTTCCTTTTGATACATTCACCTCATTTTTGAACACTTTTAAAGTATATGTCATAACAGTACACTTCAGACTTAATCTTGTACCTTCCATTATTCAGCCTTGTGATCAGTCATTTTTCCAAAAAGAAATAGTATATTTTGTGGGAAATTATATATAGACTTAACTTCTTGCTATAAGGATATCATTGCTTCTAGAACCTTTCAATGGTCATTAATGACAAAATAGAAAACACACACATATACACACACCTATATATGTATATATGTGTGGGTGTTATATATACATATAAACATCTGTATATATTCATACATATGTATATACATGCAGACACATATACATATATACAAATATCTGCATAAGCATATACATATACATGCTTGTATGTGTAATACGTTTATATTGATACTATTAACTGCAGTTCAACACAGTATTTTTCACTGATATATTTTCTCAATCCTCTACTATACTCAAAACAGTTCTGGAATTACTACAGTCATGCAGCTACAATGAACACACTTATTAATTAAAGTGAAAGATTTTTTTCATATTTTTGTTGTTGTTTTTAAAGTAAGGCTATAAGATAGTTGTTTTGATACAAATAATGGACTAAAGTTGAGAAGTACAGGAGGAAGAGACCAATCATAAATTGCATTTTTTCCAGGATGAAGATGATGACTGTGGGAAAAGAGAGAATTTGGTACCTGATTAGAGTATGGGGGCCAAAGAAAGATTAGAAGGAAAAGATAAAATTCTAATTACTGGCTTCTGTGATTGGGTGGTGCTATTTTTAAAATTGTGTACACTGGACTAGAGAAGAAACAGTGCTATTTTGTTTTCTTTCTTTTGGAGTTACGGTTGGAATGATGAAGGCAGGATCAGGAAATGGAAATTAGTTCAGTTGTGGAATTTGAGTACCTGTGAATAATATAATTGGAAACTTTTGCTTCTGGATAAAATGAAATAGGAGGATCAGATTTAACCTCTCATCTTAAATAACAACTGAGAATGAACATATTCCATAATGTTTTTTTCAGAAATTGTTCAAAGGCAATATAGGATAGTGACTCTTAAGAATGGAAACAAAGTGAACCCTACAATCAGAAAAGGCTGATGGCCTGGACAGTGTTTTCAGGTTATCATGCAGGGAGAGGGAACCCAAATAGTGCCTGGTGGATTCTGTCCATTGATGAGAAAGCATTGAGAAGGTGGGGAGACCATAGTACACAGAATTTAAAAGAGAGCTGCAGGAATGAGAGAGAGAGAGAGAGGAAAATTGAAAGAGAGAAAGAAGGAGAAATATCAATTACAAAAATCTGCAGATGGTTCTCTTAAAAGGAGAAAGAGAAGATCTTTAACTAGAGCTATAGATTTCAATACTGCTTTCTTAATAAGTAATTGAACAAGCAGACAAAAAAATAAGCAGAAGCAACAGAACATCAAATCACACTCCAAATCAACCTGACTGAATTGGCATTTTTAGAACATTCGAACCAACAACAGCAGAATATGTAGTCTTTTCCAGCATACCCAGATAGACCATATACTGGCTATTTTGGCTTATAAAAATGAAAAGAATTTTCAGCATACAAATTATCTTCTCTGGCCAAAATACAATTAAATTAAAAATCAATAATAGAAATATCTGGATAATCTCCAAGTACCTGGGAACTAAATGTTATACTTTTAACCTATGAGTCAAAACAAAAATCGAAAGGAGAATTTAAAATATTTTCCACTGAATGAAATGAAAACATGACAAAGTTGTCCTAAAAGGAAATCCTATAATATCTAAGTGGCTGAATTAGAAAGGAGCAGTGCCAAATAAATGCACCAAACCTTTACCTTAAGGAAGTATAAAACAGAACAAATAATAATGAATTAATTATTAAATATTACTACTAATGAAATATAAAATGTTATATTAACATAATATGATATATAATATTGTATTATATATTGTATGATCAATACATAATAATTTATATAATTAAATAAAACAAATAATCATTACATATTACACAATATATATATATAAACATAAATCAATAAAAGAGAAAACAAATATAGAGAAAATCAATAAAAACTAAACCATTGCTCTTTAGTAGATTAATAAAATCAGTAAATTTCTAGTAAAATTATCAGGGAGAAAAGAAAGAAGATACAAATTACCATACCTGAAATGAGAGAGTGTATCATTACAGATCATAATACATGAAAGAGTAAGGAAACGTTTTATGCTAATATTATGCCAATAAAATTGACAATAGAAATTAAATAGAAAATCATCTTGAAGACATGAATTACCAAAGTTTATGCAGGAAAATATAGCCTGAGGAGCCCTACAGCTTTTAAAGATCTTCCTTCCTTTGTTCCTTTTTTGTTTCTTCCTTCCTTTCTTTTTAGTAGTACTAGGAATTTAACTCAGTTGTGCTTTACCTCTGAATTACACCCTCAGCTCCTTGTTTTTTAACTTTTATGAATTTAGTTATTTTTATGCTTTCATTTTGAATAATTCATTTCATTTTTATTTTGAGACAAGATGTTGCTAAGTTGCCCAGCCTGGCCTAAAACTTCTCTTCCTCCTGTTTCAACCTTCCAAATTGTTATGATTATAGAGGTGCACCACCAAGCCTGGCTGGAATGGTCATTTTATTTTATTTCATTTATTTATTTTTAATATGTGATTTTTTAGTTGTAGGTGGACCCAATACATTTATTTTATTTTTATGTGGTGCTAAGGATCAAACCCAGTGCCTCACACATACCAGGTGAGTGCTCTACCACTGAGCCACAACCCCAGCCCTGGAATGATCATTTTATATATTATTTATTTCATTATTTTTTTAAATTAATTTTTTATTGATATATGACAGTGGAATGCATTACAATTCTTATTACACATATAGAGCACATTTTTCATATCTCTGGTTGTATATACAGTATATTCACACCAATTTGGGTCTTTATACATGTACTTTGGATGGTAATGTCCATCACAATCCACCATCATGGAATGGTCATTTTAAATGAGAACCCTTTCCATAAAAAAAAAAAAAAAAAAATCTCTAGGTTCCCATTGTATTGCTGGTGAATTCTAGAAAAACATTAAAGAAAAAAATATCAATTCTACAAAAAAGCATCTTCCAGATGTATTGCCCATTTTTAATTAGATTATTATTATTATTATTTATTTTGTTCTAACTTGAGTTCCTTATATACTTTGGGATATTAATTGCTTGTCAGATTGAATTATTTGCAATTATTTTCTCTCAGTCTGTAAGTTGTTTCTCCATTGTCAATTATTTTCTTTCAGGAGCAGAAGTTTTTTGATTTGATATAACCCCATTTGCCCATTTTCCTTTTTTATTAATAAATTATAGTTATACATATTAGTGGGGTTCATTTTGGCATATTCATTAATACATATAACATAATTTGTTCCAGTTAAATTTCTGATACTATCTCCTTTCTTTCTCTTCTCTTTCCCTCATTTATTTCCTCTATATTCTACTGGTCTTTCTTTTATTCACTTTTTTTTTGTAATTGGTGCATTATATTTATATAAAAGTAGAATTCATTGTGATATAGTCGTACATCTGCATAAAGTTTGGTGGATTTCATTCCACTGTTTCTCTCCTTTCCCATACCTCTTCTACTCTCTTCATCCCCTCCCTCT